TTCCCAAAGCAAGGTTGATGAATTCACTCATTTATTGGCACCTGTTTTAAAAGCAGTTCCCCATATTTTGAGCTGTTTTAGAGCATTTTCACTGATATTTCAAGATCCACAGAATACTTATTTACAGATATATAATTATGAAACGCTGACTCACTGCATGGTTTGAGTGTTGCTTTTTTTTGTCATGGCATTCGCCATTACTCCATAATCTGTGTCATCTTTACTCACGACTGCAACACACTTTCAACAAACTTTCAAGCCACGTACTCTATTTAGACAATACACATACACACTTTTGAGTGTCAGGTGCCCAGACTTTATGTTTTGGCATTTCTGTCCCTCTTAGTCAACAGGACGAGCTGAGATTCACCCTCTAATTTTTATCCTCACCTCAAAAGCTGCGGTGATTATAAATGCAAAGCGATTCAACTCTGCCATCTACAGGGATCTGTCCCGTCACTGCAGGGGTTTACAAACTTGCATTTCACAGACAAGCTCGACAAGACCCTCCTCTGGTCAGAGGGTTTATCTCAGCTCTCACACTTAAGTCTACTATGGTAGCCTCCAGCTCTAATGAAGACAATCAGTATTAAAAAATTTAAATGCATGGGAAAGAGATTAATTTACTCTGGACTGATGGTCTGTACACAAGCCAACCAGAGTCCTCAGAGCAGAAAGGACAACATCCTCTTGCTTTGAATGAAGAAGTTGGTCAATCAGCCTCACGCCGTCGTTACGGAAGATCTGCTCAGCTCCTGCGTCTTCTCGAGATAACACCACTAGATTCTGGGCAGCCTGAAATCAGACAGTTGACCACATTATGTGGACAGAACGCTAGACTACTGGAAGAAACATTTTTTGTAGCTTCTTGCCTGGGAAGGCAAACCTACCTTTTGTCGGTCAGAATCTTTCACAGATGCATCTACAAGGAGCGAGAACATCTGTTGCACACGTGCATCTGTGGAGTTTAACTGGAGCGACTACAAACATTAAAGGAAGAAAACAAGAGGCTGATGAGCACTGTCTTTTTTTGGGAAGATCATGCAATACTCACAAGGGAATGACATCACCTTCTGCTGGATCTGTGCCCCCAGCTGTCTGAGGAGATCTTGGAATGCTTTGTTTTTGGGCTCAAGCTGGGCACACCTCTGCGCATCCACAAAGGCCTGATCAAGACGTCCAAGTTTCTGGTAAGCCTGAGCCCTGCGAAACCTGGCTTTCACATCACTTGGATCAGTATCGAGAGCTGAAAAACAAACAAAATAATAAAATTGAATTTCATGGCCCCATCTTAGTGAAGAAGGGATGATGCGAAGCAAAGCGGTATGGAGTTCTGTTCACTTGCCTCGCCTGCTGTGCTGTCCATTTTCACATGAATGATACTGTGTTGAAAATTAGTAGAAACATCTCCAAAATTAAGTCAGATTATTCATTAAATCTTTAGTCTTGTCTCATCTGGTCAACTAGCCAACACAAGAACATGCAAAACTCCAAATCACTAAAAGCAGAGCGACTCGCCTGACCCTCTGCTGTTCAAGGCTCTAGGGCAGGGGGGTCCTCGAGACTCCCTTAGTCTGTTTTCCATGTTTCTCCTCCTCGAACACACTTGATTCAAACGATCAGGATCGTTATCAAGCTTCTGCAAAGCTTGCTGTTGAGCTGATCATTCAATAAATGTTCATTACAATTCAGACTCATCCTTAATTTTTCAGTATTGTTTGGTGTCTGATTTATGCACATCTACATCCAGTTGCATTTCGCAGGCATAGACAACCATTCATGCTCACAATCACCCCTTCGGACAATTTGGAGCGTTCATTGAACCAAGTATCCCATTCATGTTTTTGGAATGCGGGAGGAAACTGGAGTACCAGAAGAAAACCCATACAGCATGGGAAGAACATGTAAATTCCACACAGGAAGGCCAGGGCCACTTTTAAAATCTTGCTGAAATCATGCTGCTAAACGATTGCATCCTGTTTATGAGGGATTTTAAAGGTCAAATGTGAAGTAAATTTGGCCAACCATGTTTTAAGCTTCAATAGCTGGCCACCGCGATTGCGGCGGCACTGCTTCCGCTGCGTGGGGATCACGCGGACAGGACACAGAAAATCTCCCCCCGAATGTCAACCAAGAATATGGGCAAAATCATTTGCCAACCATGCTCGAATGCACACGAAACTCCAACGTTGTATTGCACACCCAATAAGAATTGGTGCAATTTATGATCCTTTTAATCAGGTGTGTTGGAGAAGGGAAACATGGAAAACAGGTTGGATAGGGGCTTTTAAGGCCCAGAGTTGGGCACCGCTGATCTCGGTGATCGTTTTGCCCTCCCTATTCCCACAGCTAACACAGTGAAAAGAACATTAACGCACAAATCAGTTTCATACTGGAACCATGTTCTACCGACGTAACTTGCTATGATTAAAACATCAATCTTTAAAAGCAAACTTAAAAAAAAACATTTTGTACAACTGTTTTGTGTTGTATTTGTCTGTAATTTCTGTGATGGACCCCGGGAAGAATACCCTTCACCATGGTGAAAACTAATGGGGATCCCACTTTAAAAAACATACCTAATGAGGTGCTCAGTGAGACTGTATCAAGGAGTGTAGTACTGTATATCATTAATGAAAATAGCTTGTAATTTAGACTTTACCAATGCATTTCCATAAAAGTCTAGTCAGATATACATCTCTCTAAAATAAACCGTTAAGAGGAAGGAATACATTACACTTGGAGGCATCCGTCTCGGCCTTGTTATATTCCTCCAGTTTCAAGTAGCACGCCGAACGGTTGCGATAAAGCACAGCGCTCTCTTGTCTGTTGTCACTCAGCTTCAGTGCTCTTGTGTAGCAACACAACGCACCCTGCAGGTCCCCAGCCTTGAAAAGATTGTTCCCCTCTTCCCTCAGGGCTGCAGGACCCTAAAAGGAATGAAAGAACGAATGCTCCCAAAGAATTCAACACAAGCGCTCACTACCACAAGTGTAAATCGAACCCATGCGTATGCGATTAAGTGTTCCATTGTTACCTTCTCATTTTCTGTCTCGCTCATCATTTAAGTTGTTCCTCACAGTTCCGCGTTGGGTATTTTGGAAATTAATTTAACGCTACTCATAAAAAGTACTGGCAAACACGGTGAACTTCCACTAGATCGCCAACGAGCTACACTTCCGGGTGTGCGGTGCAGAAATGATGACGTTGAGTTACCGGTCACGCCTTTTTTCCGGTACAGTCCAAAAGAGGAAAGCCCGAGCGTACGTTGGCGCCAAATATTTTGGTTAGCTCTACATCGGGTGCATCTCATTATTGTAATTCCACATTCCTACTAACTCGCTCCTCTCTTTTCATGCTAGCACCTCCCACTAAACATTTCATCGAGGAGGTCGGACATTGACAAAGGAACATGGCAGGAGCAGGTACAAATGTTTCGGGGCAATGAGACATCACTCCTCGCTGTCGTCATTTGATGGAGACGTCTTCTAAATATGCCGTCACATCATTTAGACGTGTCAAATATGCAGCGTCTGAGTGTTATAAGTTTTACTATCATCATCATGGGATTCAATTCAAGTGAAATATCCACGATGTTACGCTTCACGATTTTGCAGATGCAAAGAAGAGCGCGATTGGTCTGTCTGAAGCGGCCTCCCCATCCCTAATGCGCGCAGTGCATACTTGGAATGACTTGTAAATCTGTAAAAAATGTTGATATGTTGCTTATGCATTAAGTTAAATGCAAAAATGTGAAGAACCATGAAAACGTTTTAATTTGCTTCATATGGCAAAATTAAATTGAGAAATAGCAGCCTACTGCAGTGCAAACAGAAGCAGGTGAGGTTCAGTATAGAAACCAGGCGTAATCAAGTCTTTTTGGTATCAAGTACTGGCCCAAATAGAACAAACACTCAACATAAGATGTATATTCAAACTAAAATAGTCAAGAGATGTCACGAACGAACATTTTTTTTCAGCAAGACATTCTATTCACACCTTCTGCAGGTCCTCCTACATAGGCAGTAGAAATTGGAAGGTTTCGCTCTTAGCCACACTATCATACTGGTCCTCCTACATAAGCAGTAGAAATTGGAAGGTTTCGCTCTTAGCCACACCACAACCATTCATGCTCACAATCACCCCTCGGGACAATTTGGATTGTTCATTTAACCTAATATCCCATTCATGTTTTTGGAATGCGGGAGGAAACTGGAGCACCAGAAGAAAACCCACACAGCATGGGAAGAACATGTAAATTCCACACAGGAAGGCCAGGGCCATTTTCAAATATTGCTAAAATCATGCTGCTAAATGATCACATCCTGTTTATGAGGGATTTTAAAGATCAAGTGTGAAGTAAATTTGGCCAACCATCTTTTAAGCTTTGCAAGCTGGCCACCGCGATTGCGGCGGCACTGCTACCGCTGCGTGGGGATCACGCGGACTGGACACAGAAAATCTCCCTCTTAATGTCAACCAGGAAGGTGGGCAAAATCATTTGCCAACCATGCTCGAATGCACACGAAACTTCAACGTTGTATTGCACGCCCAATGAGAACTGGTGCAATTTCATGCAATTGGAGCTCATACATTTGGTGAACAGGCCTTGTTTTGCCAAAACTAATACCTGAACATGCCATAATCAGGATTCGGATAGATCTCTTGTTGACATTTCGTTTTTATATATTCAAATAAAAATTCAAATCCCTTTACTTACTCTTTCCTGAGAGGAAAATCAAGCAATATTTCAACGATGGCGTTCCCATTTTAAAACGAAAATCAAATAACCAGTCGTTTTTCTATTTATAAAATCTGTTTCCAAACGCATTACCAAAAAAGACAAGGAGACTCGAGCGTTGTATTTTATTGATTAAACCTACCTTTTATGAGTAGACAATAGTTTCGTGATGACTCGACCAAAGTCAACAGGAAGGAATGGGTTGTTTGCTGACAGCAAGCATCTGAAGCAGTCGACCAATCATCGCGCTCTCCTCCCACAAGCTTTTTGCAGCAGCTCGACGACGCTAGCTAGTTGTTAGCTGCTTACGCTAGTTGGCTGCTATAGTCGGTTAGCTGTCAGCCTGACGTGACTTGTAGCTGGAGGCACACACATATACGGTGCACACGCGCGCGCACAAGGGGGCTCCTCGCCGAAGGTCCACTCGCCACATTGACAGGTAACGTCAGAATTCTTAATTTTATTTGAAAGGGTTCCACAAAAATTTCTACCCGGTGTTTGACGAAATCGAACATCTTTGCCAGGGCTGTTTTCACTTGCGTCAGGTTATTGTTTGAATGCCCCAAGCCCACACTTGCCGTGGCAAGCACGCTTGGTATGCGTACGACTTAATTTTTCTGCTCATAATAAATACTATGGAATGCATTTGAAATTCCGTTCAAGATCTTAAATCAGCAGACTGGGTCAGTTCGGATTTATATACCTTGACACTAGCGCTAGCTTGTTACAATGCAATATATCGGCGAGTTTGGCATTAATGGCACATTAATGTTGCTACTTGAGAGACGATACCTTCATTGATTCACCAGTGGCATTTGGCGATTGCGGTTTTTTTCAATTCATTTATTTTTTATTTTACAACATCGAAGTTCCGCTGTCAAACTCGCTGCCCTGTCTGAAAGTCAGCAAAGTTAAAGCTTAACAGAGGTACAGCCGTTTGTCAATAAAATAGACGTGTTTGGGCCGTTGTCATTGTTTACACAAGCGATTTGGCACATTGCTCAAACTGAGTAAATACTACTTATAGTATAATGTACCTTTGTACTCCATTATTAGTCTGCCTATGTATTACAAAATAGTCTGCCTTTGGTTGTTTGAGACCTGCTATTAGAGTGTCTGAACAAGTTAATAATGCCACTCTTCTCTGATCATGTTCTAATAGTTGCAGCCCTGAGAAGTGAGCTGATTAGTCTTGTGTTGGATTGCACACAGTGGTGAACCAGGAACATCCGTTTGAGCTTAGAGGAAGTACACTCCCCCACCATCTGCTTCCTGATTGTTTCCCTTTCGTTTAGGTATGTTGTCACTCATTTTCTCACCACTGTGTTGCTAGTGCCTGTACATCATGGGAGCATGTTAGTTTCAATAGCCTGATTACAATATGTATGCATCATTAATCTCTTTTAATTATTTCAACAGCTAAGGAAGATACAGTAGTGTGATTTCGTCTTGGCCACTGTGATCAAGGACAGATCCACCGTTGCTGCTCTTTTAAATTTGATGACAACGCTGTGAGAAAGACACCTTTTGTCTCGTCATTGCCTGGAGCTGCTTTTGCAAAACCAGTACCAGCTTTGCAACAGACAAGCGTGCAGACTTGATAAGGCACTGGAAGGGAGCAAAGGAGGACTAAATTGAAGGATTAGCTGCTGCTGTGCAAGCGGGGACTGGACCAGAAAGCGCAGGCCCACTGGGAGTCACCTCATGCAGCAGGGACACTAAGCTTCCTGTCGGACCCCTCCCATCTGTGTCGTGCTTGTTTTCTCTTTTCCTGCTATCTCATAGATTTGGATGATTGAGCACAAGGGCCACTTTGAAGGAGCCCACCGGTGGCTGTGGCCTGGCCAGAGCTGATGGACTTCTTGCCAGCCATTGCTGATTTAGTCACTTTGTTCACATCCACTGCAGCTACTGCCGACTTCAGTGTAGTCGCCAGTATCATGAATGGAGGCTGGAGGACCCATTTGTGAGGAACTAAACCCTTGGGATTGACCTATTTTTCTCTGTTGGTTGAAAAAGCAGCTGGAGTTCTCCTAGAATCTGTAGAAAACACGCTCTAGGGGAAGATGAAGCTGAGGAAACAGGTGACAGTGTGTGGAGGGGCCATCTTCTGTGTGGCTGTATTCTCACTCTATCTCATGTTGGACCGTGTCCAGCATGACCCTACGAGGCGACAAAATGGTGGAAACTTTCCACGGGTAAGAAAAACTGCGTAAGGCTATTTTGTTGTATGATTTTTTTGGGGGGGAGATGATTTGTACTACATTTCATTCAGTCAATCTCTTTGTTTAGGAATGATTGCCTCTTTAGCTTCTTTCCCACATTATTATTGGGCAGAAAATACAATCCAAAATGGGAAACAAGACATTCTTTTGTGATTAGTAATTTTTGTAGTGAAGCTTAGTCAACTAGCGCAATTTAGCAAAGAGAAATGGATTTACAAAACATTTAGGGGCCACCATGAATGAGCAATGTTGAGGTGGCCCTGCCAGAACCGGCAATGGGCCTGTAAATTTCATCCTATAATACATTCGGTATCAGTGTTTATTTCATATCGAGTTAAAAAAAAAGTTACTCCAGAGCCTTATTTTGACGAAGCCGGCCAACCAGTCGCCGTCCGCCTCGCCGCCCCTAGCAAAGAGAAATGGATTTACAAAACATTTAGGGGCCACCATGAATGAGCAATGTTGAGGTGGCCCTGCCAGAACCGGCAATGGGCCTGTAAATTTCATCCTATAATACATTCGGTATCAGTGTTTATTTCATATCGAGTTAAAAAAAAAGTTACTTCAGAGCCTTATTTTGAGCCGTGGTACATATATTTATGTATTTATGCATGTATGTAATATAATTAATATGAAAAAAAACCTGACTACAATGATTTGTAAATCCATTTCAACCTACATTCAATTGAATACCGGTAAATAAAAATGACAAGATATTTTATGTTCAAACCAATTAACACTGAAGTGTTCTGAGCCCGTGTGTCAATTTCCTTTATGCAAGGATGCCAACTTTTAATGCAGTGCCACCTGAGGGATCAAAGGTCACGGGCATTCAATGTTGCTTTTCGACCTTGCTATTTATGTGCAGAGATTTCTCCAAATTATCAGAATATCTTGATGTTATCAACCGTAGAGGATGAAATCACAAATGTCCTTGCAGTTGACAAACATTCAACTGGTGAATTATTTGCTCACACAGTTGGTGTCAAAGTGGTGAACCTTACCCCATCATTGTTTGTGAACAACTGAGCCTTTCGGGGATGCTTCTTTCATACCCAACTCATTGCACTCACATTTTAACTTTATTTTTATTGAACAGATAAACACAATAGAGAATATTCGCAACACACCAGTTTATGTAAGAAAATGAAAGTTGAAGCTGGTGACTGAAAAATAAATACAGTATGTACAAAGATGGGCATTGAAAAATAGCTACATACTGTACATAGATTATTTGAGAGAAAACAGCATATTGTGGGGTTGCCTTTATTTAACGAGGTATCTCAATTTAGGAATTCGAAACACATTAGACGTCAATTGTACTGTACCTGTCCACCCATTCATGAAGACTCCCTAAGGTTCTGCTTTCGCTGTGTGACCATAGGTGTCTGTTGATTCATATATTTTACCGTCACTATTTTCCGAGCAATCATCAAGAGTGTATTTAACATGCACGCTCCCATTTCTAATTAAGCTTTTCACCTGTGGAATGTTCTAAACGGGTATTTTTTTGAGCATTACTTGACTGACAGTTGCCTATTGCCGCTGTACCAGCGTTTTTGAAATGTGTTGCAGATTCAAAATGTTTGAACCTTTATCAGTTTGAACATTTAAATGCCTTGTCTTTGTAGCTACAGACACTTAATGGAAGTATTTGTAAAGCGAAATTGTCGCCATCGTTTGCGGGAATTAATACGATGCAGTGATGTTTAATTTGTGTTGCATGACGTTAAGAAATACATTTTCCAGTTGTATATATTTTTATTTACTTTATCATCACTAACGCATGCTCTTTTTGTTCATCTAAAACACAATAAAGGCATAGAAAGAGCAAAATAGACGTATAGAGTTAATTAGATGCTTGCTGAGTTGAAGTCTCACTAGATATGGTGAGGTTACACATGGTTTGAGCCCAAGTTTTGTTTGATGTTTCGGCCACATTTTTCCTGGACATTTTGGTTGAACTTCAAATGCTCTGACTTAGCCATTATCTGACGATGTACGTAGGTTTCACTGGACATGAATTTGGTTGGTCTTGTTAAGTCTGAATGATCGTTTGTTACCTTGTTCTTTGTATGTTATAGAGCCAAATTTCCGTCCTGCAGAATCGGATAGAGCAGTTGGAGCAGCTCCTGGAGGAAAACCATCAAATCATCAGTCACATAAAAGACTCTGTGATGGAGCTCACAGACACGGGAGCAGTGTCTCCCAGTGGCCACCTGCCCTTCAGGAGTGCCAATGGCTCCTGGGTCCTTCCCTTTGACGGCCGCCCCACTTTCCTTGCTGTCAAGCCCCAGGACTGTCAGTTGGCTGCAGGCAGTCCCAGTCAGGCAGACGTTCAGGTTTGTAGCTTCCTGCAAATTTTGACAAGCACGTACACGTTACCCTATTTAGTGAATGTCAAATGTAAAATTACCTTGTTTTGTTGGTGACATTATTAGGTATGTTTTGTATTCATTTTCAGATGTTGGATGTATACTCACTCCTAAAGTTTGACAACCCGGATGGTGGTGTGTGGAAACAGGGCTTTGACATAACTTATGATGCTGATGAGTGGGACAAAGAACCTCTGCAAGTGTTTGTGGTGCCACACTCTCACAATGATCCAGGTGATCACCTCAAGCACGCGTGTATTATTTATCATAATTTCTTGAGAATAACCCAAAATATTTGAACCCCCCCCCCCCACACTCAAAATCAATGGGTCTGTGTTATACACTGGTACATGCAAAATTACAAATATTTGTATAGTAAAGGCAAAAATCAAGGATCAAACACAAAGATCGTATATAGTTTGCTCTTACCTAGGGATTGTGAAAATGGTGTACCATACTTTTATTCCAATATGATATGTATTGTTGAATGTTGATAATTTAAATGTAATAACATATTTCAGTTCGCTAATTACCGTGCTACCAAGTGTAAATCAGTGTCAGCATCAGAGCACATCTGGGAGGGCCCATCTGGTCAGCACGGGAAGGTCTCACGTTCTGCTATACATTTAGCGTTATGAGCAGGTATGCCTCCATTGACATTGGATAAACGAAACACATGAGGTAGCGGACTTGGGCATTTCTGTATGTGCGAAGGTATTCAGGCATTTTCAACTTATGTCTCTTAAATGCCAGCTGAACCAATTGGGCCTTTTATTTTTTGCAGCATTTTGGGCCTGTTGTCTGTTTTTCAGAGTGGAGAATGAATACTTGCATATTGCCGTGGAGGCACCAAATGTTAGGCTAAGTTTGAAAGAACTCAGCTCACTTTGGTCGGGTACACACATCAGACAATCAAAACAAAATGGTTGTTCTGTTTGATGTGTGTTCAGAGCAGATTTGTCCTGACAATAGGATCTGAATTCTGGATTCTAGGCCATTGGTGGAACTTAGACCTTACCAGGGAGGCTGAGGAGTGTCATCCATATATAGATGGAACACACCCTTCTGTCCCCCTGATTAAAAAGAGGGACCACATCAATCCATAGGCACTGTCCCTGATGTCCAGGCGATGTTGCAGAGGCGTGTCAATCAGGACAGCCCCACAACATCCAGAGCCTTGGGGAACTCTGGGCCGATTTCATCCACCCCCAGGGCTTTGCCACCAAGGAGCTCTTTAACCACTTCGGTGAGTTCATCCCCAAAGATAGGAGAGCCCACCTCAGAGTGCCCAGACTCTGCTTCCTCTCAAGAAGGCTTGACGGAGGAATTGAGGAGGTCTTTAAAGTATTCTGCCCACAAACTCGCAACGTCCAGAGTCAAGGTCAACAGTGCCCCATCCCACTGTACACGGTGTTAATGGTGCACTGCTTGCCCCTCCTGAGACACCAGAAGTTGGACCAGAATTTCCTCAAAGCCGTCTGGTAGTCTGTTTGCATTGCCTCGCTGAAGTCCTCCTCCGCCCGAGTTTTTGCCTTGACAACCGGCGAAGCAGCATTCTGTTTGGCCAGCCGGTATCTGTCAGCTGCCTCCAGAATCCCGCTGGCCAAAAACACCCTAGAGGACTCACTCCCTCCTCCCCTCCCACCACTTCAGCTGGAAGGCATCCCTTACCACCGTTTGGGGTTTTGGTTTTGGGCATTTTCAACACGACAGGCACCCACCATTCTTGCATCGAAATGAGTTGTCCTTCCCAAGAAATCGTCTATATTGTACGATTACATTCCTTTTCTTGTGTGCTGTGACTCATTTAAAGAACCTTTATCACATTTGGTTTACTCACAGACTTAACCTGCAGACCTCTTGGCATTTTTTTAAATTTAGTACGTAAACCTGCTACCAGGTATTTAGATTGTACTTCTTTGTAATGCCTTGAATGCATAGAAAGCCTGACTCTGCCAAATATTGTAACTCTGTGCACACAACTGTTCGATTTAAATAAATCATGAGCCTTATTTTTGATCCATTTGCAGCACTTTCCCCTCAATGTTCTTTTAATAGTTTTTTTCTGTGTGTGTGGTAAGAGAAAGGCCATCTCTCTGATTACAATCTACTATTTTCTTCTTAGGTTGGGTTAAGACTTTTGACAAGTACTTCTTAGACCAGACGCAGCATATTTTAAACAACATGGTGGTGAAGCTGACCGAAGATCCCCGCAGGAAGTTTATCTGGTCTGAGATTTCCTTCTTCTCCAAATGGTGGGAGAGTGCTGATGCCCAAAAGCAAGAGGCAGCACGCAAGTGAGTCGCGACTCAATGAATTTTTTCAATTCTATGAGCTAAATCCAAAATTAGTGGAGATAATGTTTTACACAGTGTCTCATACATACTGGCAGATTGTGGAAATTCTGAAAATGGCTTGCTATCTGGATAGTGTGATTCTTGCACGTTGGTGGTGCAGGATTATTCTCACCTTCTTTTTGTAATCCTTTCTATCCAATAGACTGATCCTCCGGGGACAACTAGAGATTGTGACAGGAGGCTGGGTGATGACAGATGAAGCCAACGTTCATTACTTCGCCATGATAGACCAGCTTATTGAGGGACATCAGTGGCTAGAGAGAAACATAGGTGCATTAGAAACTATCCATGTCCTACTAAAATGTTCTATTGTCTTCCCTCGTACTCTGAGATGGTTAACGTATCACTCACGAGTCAGACAAAAGTTACGATGATTATTCCAGTCACTATTCCATTATGAAATCTTGTAAAGGAACATTGAATTTAAGATTCTCACTTAACAGGTGATGACACCTACAGTGGGAGGAAAAAGTATATGAACTAGAGATGTTCTGAGCCGATAATGCGATTGGAAACTAGGGCTGTCCGTGTCATTTTCATCTGATCGGGGATAGGTGAAAACAAAATGGTTTTCTTCATTTTGAAATTTTAAAGGTCACAAAGCTACCAAATAATTCAAAGCGATAAAGATCTTGTCAAATTGAACAGTAATAGCTTCATTTGACATTGCACAATGTCATGTTAAGTTTTTTGGGGGGTGCTAGCAGTCAGTGTGACACCAAAAGACACAGGCAGACACACAGGCAGGTCTCCCCGTGGACAGTGCTCTCCTGTTCACTGCGGCAGAATTTACGTTATATTTGGAGCAACAGAGACATGACCAATGTGAAAACACTCAGGGTAAGCCGAGTAATAATAATAAGAATGTCTTTCTGTTCTATTCCAGGGGCAACACCCCACAGCGGATGGGCAATAGACCCTTTTGGTCACAGCTCTACTATGGCCTATGTGCTGAAGAGAGCCAACCTGACCAACATGCTCATCCAGAGGGTCCACTACTCAGTCAAAAAGCATTTTGCTGCCACACGCAACCTGGAGTTTATGTGGCGACAGCCCTGGGGTGAGTGTAGCACAAATAGGACATGTTGGAAGAATAAAGAGTGTATTACACCTTCAGAGAGTTCAACTATTCTTCACACTTATAAGTGTAATGTGAGAATTGGCCGCCATCTTAGAGAATTTTACCCCCAAAATTATGCCTCCAAAATAAAGTCACGCCTTCAAAATACTACTTAAGAAATAAACTCAGGAAAGCACATTTGATGATTAAAGTGCTTGGCCAATTCTACTGCCAACACTGCTCTTCTCATGAATAATGTTCAATTTGTGCTTTTTAAGTCAAGATTTTTGAGGGCAAGAGATGCAGCTTTAATCATCATGGTGCATTATGTAGTGCAAAATCCAACAATGGACTAAGGAGTCCCCACTCGAAGACCACCTTGAAATTTCTGCCTGTATGAGCTTATTAGTGTATATTTTTAGCTGAAATTTGTCAGCGAATTGAAGTAGGGGTTTCCTGAGAAGCAGACAAAACTGAAGGCATGATTGTAGCTGTGGACATCTATACGACAACACCCAAGTTGATGGGAAGTGTTCCCTTTTTGGATGATTATTGACATTATTTGGCGATTCAGTATATGTCCTTGAAACCGGTAACCACTGCTAATATCCAACATGTTATGCATGATTTAGATTTAATCCCATTAAGTGACCGTTGAAACAAGTGATTCCGCAAGCAGATATGTGGCACTATTTCTTACCTTGTTAAATCATTATTGATAATTGTTTTGAGAAATCATTCACATAATCATTGTCTTCCAAAAGATGAATATGCCAAATCCAAACAGCAGGATACCTGTTATCAGAACCCCAAAAATATAGATGTCTTCCGCATCCTCCACGGACAGGCAAACCGATCTCCGCTTCTGCCAAAGATCTAAGGTGTACCCAGTAGCAAATGTCCCAGAGGGGCATGAAGGCTCCTCACCGCCTCCTCTTTTCATTGAAAAAAATTTATCCATAGTGCTGAGAAATTCCATTCCATTTAATCTTCAGCATTTTTCTGTATACTGTTATTTTAAAAATCTTATCTTTTGCTCCAAGATAGATGTTCTCATTCCAAGGTAATATTTAGTGTTTACTTGTACTACCTTTACAGACGCTGGATCCAGTTCAGACATCTTATGCCACATGATGCCCTTCTACAGCTATGACGTGCCTCATACCTGCGGGCCTGACCCAAAGATCTGCTGCCAGTTTGACTTTAAGAGGTTACCCGGCGGTCGAATCAACTGTCCGTGGAAAGTGCCACCCAAGGCTGTGGTGGAGGCAAATGTAGCAGAGAGGTGCGTCCTACTGCTGCAAAATATGAATTTCTGGAGCAACGTAATTTATCAATGAATCATAAACAGTTATTTCTGGACATTTGTTTCGTTTGTGATTTGTTTTGTTGGAGACTGGAGCCTGTTGCAAAGTCCTCTCACAGAATTCATTAAACTGGACTATTTAGTAAAAATCAAATTATAATGATGACCTAAAAAAAAAAAGGATGCTTCTTCCTGGGGGAAAAACTGCATTCAGCCTTCTGGAACCGCTATTGCAGTTAACAGTGATGGATGCACATTTTCCATACCTAAACTTGAGCCAAGGACAACAGGCAGAAAGACATACATAGAGGAAGATGGCAATCGAATACAGATTGTCCTGCAGGCCTATGAGGCAGCGGCTTTTAAAAGCCATAAATAACTTCTGAGTGCAGATTTCACTGGCTTATGGCAAATAGCTCCTTATTATTGTGAACCTGCTCTTTCCAAGGTTGTAGTAATTTCTTAGAAAGCTGGCGTTAAAGACTGCACAGGGGGTCTGCCTCAATTTGTTTTCGTCTTTTTCAGGGCACAACTCCTCCTTGATCAGTATCGCAAGAAGTCCAAACTTTACCGTAGCAAGGTGCTTCTCATCCCTCTGGGGGATGACTTTCGCTATGACAAGTCCTTGGAGTGGGATCAGCAGTATATCAACTATCAGAAGCTCTTCGATTACATGAATTCTCACCCTGAGATGCATGTCAAGGTGAGAAAGTAATTTGGCACCTGTCAGACGCACTATTTGATTTTTGTTTTTCCGTGCTTCCTAGCTTGTGGTGATCAGAATATTTTGGGTGTACAGTATGAACTTTGAGATAGTAATGAATCATACAAGCTATTTAATGTTACTGAGGTAACAAGATATGTCATGGCTCAGTGCTTGGTTCAGAGCCCAGAAAGTCAGAAGTATAGTAATGCATCCATTTGTTCTGTTATGTGTTCAGTTTAATTAATGCATTTTCTTTTGTTTGAACTTTTCCCGCTTCTCTGCCTACTCCCCCAGGCTCAATTTGGAACTCTCACAGACTACTTCAATGCGCTGTATAAATTCTATGGATTGGTCCAAGGATCCCGACCTCCAGACTTCCCCGTGCTAAGTGGGGATTTCTTTGCCTATGCAGACCGAGAAGACCACTATTGGACAGGCTACTTTACATCCAGGCCCTTTTATAAGAGCTTGGATCGTGTCATTGAGTCACACCTCAGGTTGGACAATTTAATGCACACGTCAATCCTCTGTGTCTCTGTGTCTCTCTCTCTCTCTCTGTCTCTCACCCTCTCACTTACAACCTGTTTTTAGAGCGTGACGGAACTGTCAAACAGGAAATGTTATTTTTCTTTGTATGCACTGCAAGCACGCTGTCACTGGCATCCCTGTCCCTTTACACACTTTTTCATGCTTTTGTAGGCAGACTATCTGTAGATTTGATGATATGTCCCAGAAATGTTTCCATTTCAAAATATTTTTGTTTTTGTTTTTTTTTTTTTTTTTGTCAGTTTTATGTTCAGAATTTATGGTTATATGCCTCTTTTGGCATGAATATTGAGATCAGTGACTTGAGGGAGGCCATTTTGTTGCTGTGACCTCTCTCTTACTTTGCCGTCCTTACTTATGGCACTCGTTTGACACACATATGTATTAGTTTAATTCAGTTTAAATTGTGGAGTCACAGATTGGTACATTGGGTAGGCAGAGTTGCGGCCCACTGTGTGGGAGTGGCCAAAGGAGTGTCAGTGCAGGAATCACTTTTTTTCCAGCATCTGTCAGGCTCCACAGATGTGTACTCGATTTTTCTGGCATCCATTCAGTAGTTCAACGGAAAATATACAGCCTTTTGGTAAACCTTCCTGTCGGGGCTGTCCTGTGCAAAACACGTGCCCATTTTAAAAAAACAACACGGTGTTCTTTTTATTATTCTCCAAAAATTTTCAATTACCCACAAGTACAGATGACGACTGACAGAACCCTTTCTACGATGGAACTTTCCTGTACGACTGAGAGCCTCCACAAGCATCTCCAAAAATTAAGGAAAATGCTAGAATTAATGCAATGATTTTTTAAAAATCCATTATTTCCCCACTTGAATGGATACAGAAAGTGTGAAGGAAATCAGTTAAATAGATTTTGTGTACTCCTTTTTTAAAAGCCTCACTGCACCTTTGCTTTGCTGAAGGTTTGAAAGTCTCATCAGTGGTATGTTTGTATAGTGATGGAACAAGCAAATGTTTGGTTTAAATCTGATGAGCCAGTTGAAGAAATTTGAAGTCCCAACTTGACAAAAGTACGATGATGTGATGTTTTCAGTTGTGAAGCAGATCAAATCTCTTTTACACAGCTTCTCACAATTGCTGTGTTATGCACGATTCAGGGGAGCTGAGATACTGTACAGCTTAGCTGTTGCCAATGCGCGACACATGGGCATGGAAGGACGTTATCCAGTCTCAGATTACGGCCTCCTCGTTGATGCCAGGCGCAATGTGGCCCTCTTCCAACATCATGATGGCATCACTGGTACTGCAAAAGAGAATGTTGTTGTCGACTATGGCGGCAGGTAGGAAATCACAATGGCCTTGATAGATAAATTAGATCTGGTTAAAGGGATAGTTTCGCAATTTGCATATTTAACGGTTTTAAGTGTACATGAAAAATAATGAATAATTTCATTTCATTTTTCGATTAGATGACTCAAGAGATAGAAAGCAGATACATTTTACAAATGAGAATCCTTTTTCAATTGGTTTATCTTGATCAATAAAGGTTAAATAAATAAATACATGAGTTCTTGTATGAAAGGATCATTTAATCCTATAATTTTGTTGAAGCGACTTGCAAGTTTGATACCCAGTAGCAAAATAACATGCCATTAGCAGTTGATTCCTGGGTGAAACCATTGTCTCCTGTCATCCTAGATTACTACGCTCACTCGTTGGCTTGAAGAGAGTGATCATCAATGCTGCACATTTCTTAGTAATGAAGAACAAAGAGTTCTATCGCTTCTACCAGACAGAGCCTTTCCTAGACATGGTAAGAAGAAACATTGGAGAGTGTTCCCAACAGGGCAATAAACAATTTACATTGCATTTGACTTACTTGGGGCCCTATTTTCGTAGACGGGCGCCGATGCGCTCTCCACAAAATCTGGCCCATCGTCATTTTTGTGCCAGGGCAAGTCACGTGACTGTGTTTGGGGAATTTGGCAGACCGCGTTGCGCCTCTCTTTGCTTTCCGGAGAACTGACAGTGCTTTCTTACACGTCCTTACGCACTTGCCAATTTGATGACGAAAAGTAGACTAGACTTGAGATCAGCTTGGAAGTGTTCTAATTTGTGGCGCACCTGGCGGAACGTGATTTGATCGAGACAAGTTTTGCACTTTTTTTCTGGTTGTCACCATGTTTAATGGAAAAATGAATCCTTGTAGAAATAAATTCATTGAATGTATTATTATTATTATTATTATTATTATTATTTTTATCATCATCATCAATATATTTTGAAAAGTACCCTCTCAACCCACCCAACCGGCGTGCACGCCTCTGTCTGTCTGTCTGTGTGTGTGTGTGTTTGATTTTGTAGGATGACAGGCGTGCTACTCAGGACTCTCTACCTCAGCGCACTTTAATTGAGCTGGATCCAGCAGGGCCAAGGTAGGACCCACATCATGTCTACCATGTCGGCCCGTTTCCTTCAATGCCAAGAGACTGATTGCTATTTCCCCTCATCACTGTCAGGTACCTCGTCCTGTTCAACCCATTTGAGCAGGAACGGCTGTGTGCCGTGACTGTGTTGGTCAACACTGTCAGGGTGAGGATCCTCACTGAGGATGGACAGACCCTCCCTGTACAGCTTAGCGCTCAGTGGAGCTCGTCGAGTCAAATGAGTGCAGAAGTGTTTGAGGTGAGAGATGACTTTGCATAAATCTTTATGATTCTCTCCCTATCTTGGCCTGTTTTTTTGTTAGCTGTGCAACATTAGATCAGTCTTAACCTTTTCAATAAAATATTCAGTTTTGATCTCATTATTTCAAAAGGCTGTAGCTTGAAAATGGTTATAGGTAATGGCATACTGTAAATGTTGCCTGGTGCAACTTTGCTACATAGGCACTTAGGAGGTACTACAGTAGGTGTGGACAATATGGGCCCCAAAAAAAAAAAAAATATATATATATATATATATATATATATATATATTAGGGTGGTCCATTTTGGAAAAGTTTGTCGGATTCGTCGGGCCGGGTCGGAAATCTTGTCGATACTATGACACAAGGATGTGTGCAAAATTTTATTCCGATCGGATAATTTTATCCCGTCCCGCAGAGCGACCAAAGTTTCCCCTATGGAAAGAATGTTACGGGGCTGAATGGTAGTACGGTTTCTCCCGTACAGTAAGGATTTTGTTTTGCTCAGTTCGCACTTGCAATAATTCAAAGACGGAAGACAGGAACGCATGTATTGCAAAAAAGGCAACCGTGGTGATCCTGCAACACTGGTGAGATTGTTGGTCCATGTTAACTGGTCCATCTGTCTATCTGTACATCTGTCTACATCGCGCGACTGTCTGGAAGTGATCCGATCCGTTTTGCATTTTTTTCAGGCCGGGAGTGGTGC